AGATGTAGGCAGGCTTGGCTGTAAATACCCACAATCCTTGACACTTAAGCTGCCTGATATTAAACAACAGTAACAACATCATGCGTTGAGCACAGGAGTTGAAATAAACGTGAAAGCCTTATCTGATATCATTAGATGATGAGAAAGACAGTTCAGTAAAGATGAAGATGATAAACTTGAACAGAGCAGTTCCAATCTCAAAGCAAATCCAACATGCAGGTAATCCAACAAGAAAGGTTACATCTTTATAATCCTTGTGCATGAGATCCAAGAGATCCACAAGTTGAAGTAATGAAATAGTTAACGAATGGAAATCCTCTTTTTGATCTCCAAGCAATGAATGACAACAATATGATTGCTAGTGGCAATAGAGTCCTTTGAGTCCTTTCGATTGAGCTTAAAACCAAAGTTTCCCAATCAGGACTTAGAGAGGTTTGTGGTAACACAGCCGGTAGGCCATGCTGCCTCTCCCAACAAATCTGACTTTCTCTACCACCCACCTGGGTAAATACAAGTCACTAGAGCACCCTAGCACTCCTGGTGGTGTGTAGTAGTATTACTCTCAGAAAAAAAAAAACATGGTAACAGGCCTGAGCCTGTTATTGGGGGCTCGTCCGGGATCAGTTTGTCATCAGACCTCCTACGCCGGCTTTGTGTGTGTGCATTAGTGCTGGGCCCTGGCTTCTGGCTACTGTGGGGGACTGCCTGGGCACTGGAAGTTTCTGGAGAGGACGTGTGCTTGAAGCTGTGGGGTAAGGAGCTGCTGGAGTGGTGGGAGCCACTGGCCAGTGCACATGGGATAGAGGAATGTGAGACCCAACCATCAAAGCAACATGAATTCCTGTACTGCTTAATTTAAGCACCAGTGGTTAGACAAAGAAGGGAAATAACTTTACAAATGGTGCCCAGTGGCATATTTATGGCGTTTTTACACCTGGCTCATATGGTGCTTTAGTTTTTGGAATCTGGTGCTTTTTTCCTTAGTTTAGTTTGTTTATGCTAGAGGTGTCCAAACCAGGGGCTGGATTCACGAAAATCTTCTTAAGATAAATTCCAAGATGTTCGTAAGAATGTTCTTAAGTGCAATTCTTGAAAAATTCTCAAATATGTTCTTAAGAAGTCTTTCTGAATACATGGCTAAAGATGCACTGATAAACTTACTTCAAGGATTGTATTTTTGCGCTTCCTGCAGATTACTGTAATAATCATAATAAACGTGCACACTATTTCCGTCGCGACCAGCTTAACTGGCGCTCGGCTTCGCATTTTTAATGCACTGTTTTTGAACAGTTGCTTTTAAAGAGCCTGTCTCAAGCTGCAGCGATCTGTTTCATTCATTTTTGTGCTGTGATTTTGTGCTCTCTTCCAAGTGAACAGTTTCTGATGTCCGCGCTGCTACAGAAAACGTGTCCTGTGTATGGGCACATTCATATACGCTGAATATTGCCAAAGATTATGTCGTATTCAGAGGCGGACAGTAACTAAGTACATTTACTTGAATATTGTACTTAAGTACACTTTTTGAGTATCTGTACTTTACTTGAGTATTATTTTTTCTGGGAACTTATGACTTTAACTTCACTACATTTGAAAGATTAAGTAAAAATCTGTCTTTACAACTTTTACTTGTAATGGAGTAATATTTGACCAGCAGTATCTGTACTTTCACTCAAGTAATGGAGTTGAGTACTTTGCCCGCCTCTGGTCGTATTTATAGGCTAAAATTAAAAACGAGCTCCCTATCGGACACATTTTTGAAAAGTTGTTACTGAATTTTGAATTCAGCAAAAAGTCGCGCTACACATAATCATGACCAGTCATTGTTTACATTATCAGTCATCGCTGTCACTTCAGAAAACTTGTGCACATCCCTATTAATAGTCCTATTGTGTAGCCTATTATATGTAGCTATTGTTGTTGTAATGTTCAAATATAACAATTAATTTGAAATAACCCAATAAATTCATTAAATCATTATTATGGATTTAAGACAAGTCTGGGGCTATCCTAACTTTAAGTTATTTACAATGATTTTTAAGAAGATTCTTTTCAAGAATTTAATTCTTTTTAAGTTTTGTCTTGAGAACAATCTTTGGGAATACAAAATATTCTTAACTTGTTTCTTAGGTTAAAAAAATAAGAAGAAAATGGCAGTTAAGACATTTTTTTTTAAGAATGTCTCGTGAATCCGGCCCCAGTTCTTGGAGGACCACTGACCTGCAAAGTTAAGCTCCAACCCTAATTAAATACACCTGAACCAGCTAATCAAGGAAAAATTCAGACTCACAAGAAACTTCCAGGCAAATGCGTTGGATCTGGTTGGAGCTAACCTCGGCAGGACATTGGCCCTCCAGGAACAGATTTGTACACGCTTGCTTTATATTAAAAGTGTAACTGACCCGTCGCAAAGACCAGCCCACTTTATTTACTGTTGTTACTTCCGACAAGCCATGGCGCTCTCACGCCACACATCATGTCCTCACGTAGTGAAAAATACATCGTGGAGCAAAGAGGACACTGACAATGTGCCGTCAGACAAGACAGAGCACGTAGCGTTTTGTATGATACAAAGTCTCAGCTTTCAAATTTTGTCTTTTTAAAAAAAATTCGAACAATAAATACCGTTTTGTGGCTCTTAAATATGTGGTGACAGATCGCTGTAGCGCCTCAGTTCAAGAGGCACATGAACCGATCGTCTCTTCCTCTTTTCTATAGCACAAAATAAACATGACTGAACATTAGAAGGTATCTTGTTTCAACAGCGGAAAGATGACAATACACACCATTTTTCAAGTACAAGTCCACCGATGTTAATCTACTCTCCTGTCTGGTTTGTTTGTCAGAAAAAAGGCAGATTCTGCGTTATGACTGGTCAGATCGCATGTCATCTCTTCCGGGCGAAGGGTCAATTGCTCTTCTCAGTTGAATCAGGTACATTGCAAGAATGCTGTCCCAACAAAGCCTTGATTTCCGCTCTAATTGATCATTTATTTATATATATATAAAAGGCTTAAATATATATTCATATATTTAAGGCAGTGATTCCCAACCACGCTCCTGGGGCCCATTTCAATAAGGAGGTTCAACCAACTCGGAGTTAAAACTCGAACTTTTAGTTGACTTACTCTGAGATGGGAAACTCTGAGTTTTCGGGTTCAGAACAGCTGAATTGAGTTAGTTCAATCGACTCTGAGTAGGTTGACTCTGAGTTTAGCACGTGCACCACGACTATGAAAAGCCATGATCAATGGAGCTTCGATATTACGATTCACCATGGCAACAGTACCCGACAAAAAGACGTCTGCATACTTCACAGTCAATACAAGTTTAATTCTTATCACTGTTATAATATCACAGGTGAAAACTGGCAGAACAGTAGGTTATTGAACTAATAGGCTATTCATTTTCATGGTATCCCACGGGCAAAAAAAATATAAAATAATAATAATAATAATAATAATTTAAGTGCATTTTTCTTATTTTACAAATGATCTGCCAATAGGGTAAGAAAAATACGGCAGCGGCTATTTACACTAAGTGGAATTAGCATACTTTCTTAGCGATAGATCCTATTTACAGTAGGCTAAGTGCAAATAGCCCATTGGCCTCTGACCATCATGGCCTCCTAATCATCCCCATACACTGATTGGCTTCATCACTCTTTCTCCTCTCCACCAATAAACTGGTGTGTGGTGGGCGTTCTGGCGCACTATGGCTGCCGTCGCATCATCCAGGTGA